TTAAAGCGCATCGTTTGAAAGGAATTCAGAATCGCGCGCATGCCAGAACATCTCGTATTGTTCACTTTTCGTAATTTTACGTACCAGCATCATCCCCGAAAACATTTTAATTTACACATCTCGCGTCAACATAGAATTTCCACGATCATCGATCGCGCCGTGATCGTGTTATCGCACGCGGATTCTTATTTATCTTCCGTACACGACCTGCGTCTCTCGCGCGTCGATCAATAAAAGATATACAACGCAGAAAGGAAGGCGGCGACAACCGAGCGAGAACGAGAGGCGACGCAACGTGATCGCGAGAGGACAAGCGACAGTAATCACTGCCAAAAATCTCGTATCATCGGTTGACTGACTCATCAGCAGCATAGGAAAATATTTGACGCTCGCCACACTAGTCATCCCGGGTATTTGGGGATGCTGGGTGGCTCAGGTGGTTGCGTGGCGGCTTGAAATAGCGTCGCTCGCCCGCGCAAAATCGCGTCGATTAGGGCCACGAATAGTGCGCGCCCACTACCTCGTCGAGAGCCATTGGTAAATTTAGAACATTTTGTTATGCCAGATCAACGTCGTTGGCGTGCGTCACTGTCTCTTTGCTCTCTCGTGTACGTGCACTGATTTTTACATAAAGTCGATTGGACACAATATAGTATTAACGCATATCACGCATGAGATCATCTCGTAGAGTAATCTTGTATGTGTTATTATGCAGTTGTATATTTTTGATTTTTATGCAGTTGCATATTTTTTTAGAAAGCAGATTGGAAAGAAAGAAATAGGAATTTATTTTATTAAGAAAACATTCTAAAAATATATTTATTTATGTGTATTTGCATGTTAGTGTATATTTTATATTTTGTTTATAAAACATCCGATGTCAAATTACACAGAAAATTAAAAATGAGACAATTTCTATATTATTATCTTATTAACCTGTGATCATTCTTTCGTGCGAAAAAAAACCAACACAAATAAGGAAAAAAAACCAAAATAATATTGACTCAATAATATTTTTGTGTCAATTTTTACAATTTCCAGTTCAAGCAAACTGCGCGCTAATTATTTGTCGTTAAATTAATAAAGTTATTAAATAAGTTAAACTGACTTGGATTAGCCTATAAATAATAAAAAAAAATAAAAGAGAGATCAATAATAGGTATGACGTATTCTTCAAGAGTATCGACTTATTTGGTAGTCTCATTAATTATAGGTTTGGTATCGCATTATCTGAAAGCAAAACCGTTGCTAGCATTTATTTCTTAATAGTTATAATTTCGTCATCAATAACATTATCTCCAGAATAGAAGAGAGAGAGAGAGAGAGAGAGAGAGAGAGAGAGAGATTTGGAGATTATCTATATTCTATATATAAATTAAATCGATATTTCAACATTATGTAAAGATCGAGAATGTATACATATGGAGAATAATATATATAGCAACTTGTATCTCACTTTGTGCAAATCTGACTGCGTATTGTCGCATATTTCTACTCGATTTCGATTATTAAAGAAACGCGCAGCTTGAGCTTTTTTACAGAATTATAATAAAGGCACACTCTTCTTATCAAAGAATGATCAAAAAAGGAAATAAAAAATGCGTCGAATAGGAGAAATGAGAGATATATAGCTAGATAGGGCATTTATTACCGTTCTAGAGCTGTGAAAGCCCTTTAAGAACAAATTAATACAAATGTGATATTGAGAACAGAGAAAATTACAAAAATTAAAGAACGTTAGTTACAAAAAAAAAGAAACGCTCAAGCATAATAAATTCAACAAAAATAAAATAAAATAAAATAAAATAAAAATAAACAAAATAGAATAAAAATTAAAGAAAATTGAAGAGAGAGAGAGAGAGAGAGAGAGAGAGAGAGAGAAAGAGAGAAAGAGAAGAAATACATAGAGAGCGGCGAGAAGGGGCCAAGGGGGCAAGAGACACCAAGAGAGCAAGACGGAGAGCAAGGGAAGGGAGAGGGGGAACGGGCGCGTGGCAGCGCGTGGTGCCAAATAGGGCATCAGGTGGTTGCGAGACGCCCGCGAGAAAAAGATCGTACGCGCGTGCGCGTATATACGTGACTGTAACCGGGCGCTCACGCACGCACGCACGCACGCACGCATGCAAGCACGCACTCACGGACGGACGGACGCACGCGTCCGCACAAATGGCACGCGTCTCTTACCCTCCCGAGGAGAGGTGCCGCAGGTCTGTCTCATGTATGGCAGACACGCGCGCTCACAGATGTTGAGAAGACAGGGGTAAAGAGTGAGAGAGAAAGAAGGAGAAAACCACCGTCCGGGGATAAAATTACTTTCTCCGTACGCGACGGATTTATATCGCTTTTACTGTGGATGACTACGTAACTATTTATACATATACATATATGCAATCGGCCAAACGCTGAGAGGCCACATTCTCGACGCTCTATTCGTCGTGATAGATCCAATAATAGCGGAGTAGACTAGTGAGAGAGAGAGAGAGAGAGAGGAGAGGGGAGAGGAGAGGGAGGGAAGGGAATAGCAGGTCCCTTGCTCCCCCGCGATCGATGGTCTCCTCCACGTCATCATATCGCGATACGTGCGGGATAGCGATCTGCGGAATTTCATTATCATGCCGCATGCCTTTCCTCAGCGGGCTTAGTTACCGATATAACGATAATGGCGGCAATTTGCGCGCCCCGCGCGTAAGTGAATACTTATTCTCTAGGACTTCGCGCATAATTGACAGTAATACAAGATAATTTACCGCGGTACACGGCTTACCATATTTGTCCCGGCTATGTACGAGCCGTTAATAATTTCGCACCGCCGCGCCGACAAGCGTGGTTATGACAGAAATAGTTATCAACATTGACGACCGGTGACAATTAAGTTTCGACACGCGATCCGTCGACCGATCCGGCCTGCTTATTTTAATTTACGATTAACTACACGCATCCGAAACGCCGAGTTCTTGTCGCCTATTCTTCTTCAACACGAGAAAGAAAAAAAAAGAGTAGAAAAGGAAACAGAAAAAAATTTCTCATCTGCGTTAGGTCGTCCAATTGGTGACAAGAGTCGCTCCTCGATATAATGTCAGATTGATCGCGCTCTATCCTCCGCTTCGCTTTTTCGCTCTCCTTAACGCCAGTTCGCGACTGTTCCTCCATCTTCCTCCGTCGCGTGCTCGCGCGCGTTCTCGAAAGTACCTCATACAGGGGGAGGGAGGGAGGGGGACAACAGTCGCGCGCCGCGAGTCTACGTCACGGCGCGCTACGTCACTAGTGAACGGGGTTGTGGAGCCGGCGGTGGAGCCGGGGGTGGAGGGGGAGGAAGCTCCCATGGTGGGACGCTAGTACGCGGAGGGAGATAGGGGAAGGTGGCGGCGCGCGAAGGGCAACTGGTGGGGGTGGGCAGGGGGAGGGGGGAGCAGAGGGGGAGAGGGGGATCGTTCAGATCTTACACTTCTACATGCATATATGCGATACTTGCGTACAGGATCTGCGTGCGTCGTACGTGTATTTAAATATACGCGCGTGTGTGTATCTTGAAGTCTCTTAAATACACATGTATACCCTGGCGTATATAAATATACGCGCATACATGTATAAAGACGTGTCCCGCGCGCACACACGCGTGCGTAGACAGTGGTCCGACCGGGCGGGGATTGGCTGGCGGTCTCGACTCCGCGCTTCCAAATATGGGACAGTCTCGGCGGTCCATTCATAAAACTACGGGGCGCGCCGTCGCTCGGCTCAGTTCGTGCGCGACCCCCACGCATCGCGCGTCCTTTAACAACGTCGCCGTGCACGAGCCAATACATATTCTCTCTCTCGGCTGAGCTATACACCTTTACTCGAAGGAGAGTCGCGTTCAAAGAAAGAAAGAAAGAAAAAAAAAGAAAAGCGAATCTGCGCGCGGTTTGAAAGAGAGACGGATAAACATGGATGGACAGAGAGAGAAAGAGGGAGAAAGATAGAGACGGGGAAAGAAAGAGAGAGAAAGAAGGAGAGAGAGAGGAAGAGAGAAAGAGTCGACGCGACGTAAAACGCGCGCGGCCACTCGCGCGCGCGCGAGCGCGCTCACGTTC